TTTTTTTTTGGGGGGGGGGTAAATATTTAGAGGGCAAAGTATTTGGAGAAAATGAAGTCATATATACATAAGTAAATTAACAATATTTACTCCACAAAAAATGAGACAAAATTTGTTGAAGAGATTCACATTTTTACCAGTTGCTTTTGGCAAGAATGGTAGTGCGTTCCTTGTTTTCAGTTGGTGATGGCCGGACACGCTGCGCATGCTTTCCAAATTGACCACTTTTTTTTTTGTTAATACATAAGATGGAGAACATGTAACAGTTACGTATTTGGACCTTATCCATACTTACACAGAAGTAGGTCTGACTGGTTTCAGTAAGTAGGACTTACTGAAAATCTATGTATGGTTACTTAGAAGTATTAGATTCACACATTCAATTCTTACCAATAGAAAGCTATCTTTCCTGAAAATAATTCAATATTTTAGACTAAATCAAAGACCTACGAGCCTGAAAGACTTAGGCCTGCCTGAAAATTTTTTTTAAAGGAAAGCTTTTTATTTTATTGAAATGTGTTGATAGTCAAAAAATACACTTACCTGTAAATAAGCCTCAGTGTAACCTTGCCTCCAAACAACGGCAACCATTTGCTCCAGAACATGCATGTATGCATGTAGAAACCAGGTTCTGTGGGAAGATCATCACTGGTGGTTTAGCTAGTAGACAATTACCTGCAAATAGGTAGTCTGTGGTTGAAACAACCTCTGACAATCCCAATCACGTCTTTGGGATGTGGGAAAACAGAGATCCTCTCAACTTCTAACATATGATCACATTCTTTGTGGGAGATCTAACCTAAGGAAATTTTACAAGACAATTGCACTACTTAAGATTTTAGGTGAATGGTCTGAGGAAACATGACCCAGTTCATACAGAAATGAAAATCTACAACTATAGCATAAACAATTTTCAGGAAACAATTAGACCTGAAATCTGATTCTGAATATAAACGTATTACTTTGGAATAAATACAACCATCTTCATTTTGTTGATCTGACTGAAGAGATTTTAGATGCCACCTTACTGGATGGATGCCGCCAAGTTGGCTGAATGTTACCAAAAGCAGATTATGAAGAGTGTAAAATGGAAAAGCCTGCTGGATCAAGATGGGAGGACATCGTCTTGGTATTCTCTCTTACCAGTTAGATCTTTCCAGTAAGCTGATAATGAGGACATAGAGCGAATGCTTCCCTTTGTTTGTCAGACACAGCATAGTAATTAGTATAGGACAATAATGTGATATCTGGCATGCATACTGTGAAACAGTTAATCCTTCCATGTTTATGTTGTTAGCATTTTTGCTCATAATCTGTAAATTTGAAACTGAAAATAGGTTTAACTTGCTGTGTAAGCCAGTGGGCAATATATTTTCTGCAGTGGATTTAAAAGTTAACTACAATTATTATTTTAGGTCCAGTTTTTTTATTTGATATGCCATTTTTTCCTTCAGATCCTGATTCACAGGGTTTTGTTGGCTTGTAGACTGATGGAAGTTTCTGTTCTGTGAAGCACTAGTTGTTTGTTTGGGAAACTCGGAGGTGCAATCCTCACTCATTCCTAGAACTTTTTTCTTTTTTTTGGTCCCTTGTCTCACGCATGAAACTCTTGCAATAGTAAACCTAGTTTTCCATTCTAAAAAAACTTTTTGAAACAATCAGTGTATCCTAAAGATATTTCTAGTTCAATGGCACCAAATATGAAAGAGTAATTATCTGTAAATGTGAGCTCTTAAATTTTTCATGTTTCCTAAAAACCCATACTCCTGTTTTAGAATTGCAAATGCATTATAAAACTGCTTCTCACATTTTGGGTATCATGATTATTGAAAAAAAAATGGTCAGAGTCTTTATATTTGAAGAAAGTTGTAGAGACATTTACTTCTTGTTGCAAGGACACATTCAGTTTCATTAATAAGGTAAAAAAAAGTGAACATGAATTACTTCACCTCACTAAGTATTAATATATAGAAAAATCCTTGCTCCTCTAATAACATACTTTGCTATGTTTTGCTCTCACAAACTGGTTATTCTAATCATCCCTAGCCAGAACAGAAGAAGAAATACTTTCTGTCTTTTAGTGAGAGAATGAAATATTTCATCTGCCATCTGTCCAAGTACAGTCTTTTATTTATAGGGCTGCCTAATTGAATGGCTGTGAAGACATTCTGTATTTAAAGGATAGTCCAGTCCATTCTAATTTAAATAGAAAGAACCATCAGGAAAAAAAAGAGCAAGGGCCTTGAAGGTGCCCATCAATGGTTATCACCTGGACCGCAGATGGGATAAAATGCAAATCGTCTGCTTACATGTCTCCCCACAGCAGATGTATGTTATGGTTTTGTTTAAATTTACTATATTTTCATTTCTACATTTGTACCTGGGCCTATCAGTTAGCCTATGCAGACTTTATACAATTCTGTGTACTCTCTTTTTATTCTCTCCATAGTTCTATTTGGATGAGTTTTGGCCTCTGACTGTCCGTCAACAGGGTAACTCTCCAAAACTGAAGAGAGCTACACCAAATCTGGTAAGGTGGGAGAAGTCTGCAAAAGAAGGGTTGGGTTTAAACGCAGGCCAAATCCAGGCGGGTGATGGGAGGACAGAGCATCCCTATGGGGGAGAGACCCGGCCAGCGGCTCAGAATGCAGCTGACTCCTTCATTCTGAGCCCCTCCCTCTTCCTTCCCAGGCATGTGACCTGCAGCGGAGCCCTTTTAAGGGGTTAGAAATTCAAAAGCCATGCTCTGCACACTTTCCCTTTTGGGTGACACATGCTCTCCTTTTCAGCAATCCTAGGTGGCTAGCCTGACTGCTGACAATTGTGTTTTGTCTCTTTCCTGTCAACAACCATGTCCAGCAGACTTTCTGAATGCTCCAGAAACCTTAGCTCAGTATCGTGTTTCTAGCAGCGGTAAACCAGTTGCTTGCAAGAAGCCCACACGTAGAGAAGAAATACAACAGTTTTCTTCTGTAGTTTGGATCCCAGTGATCAAGCTTTAGAGGATTTGTTAATAGATAGGTTTATGCCTGACTACTTACATGGGGCAATGTATAAAGTGCCAAGGTACTGCCCCAGTTCATTGTAAAATTACCTTTCCCTCTCCTTTATTACAACTTCTGAGGATTTTCCCATTTTTCTCTCTGGTACAAAAGCGTGGATCGTCTATTTCTGTTTAAAAAGAGTATCTTAATCACCATTATCCAGAAAGTCTGTCTGGAGTCCTGATCCTCATGAGTCATTTCTTAGTCTATAGGCATGCTGTTTCTTGTAAACAGAATGAATGGTGGGAGAAGAAAGATGATGGAAAAGAACTTGGAGGTTTTGACAAACCCTACAAGATCTGCATTTCTA